TCCAGCCCTGCTGAAGCCAAATGGAGTGCAGACAGGCTTATCAACCAACTTCTGCACAAATTGCCATCCCACAAAATCATGAGCCTATAAATGGTTTCTGTGACAATAGCTGGTCTCTTACAAGAAACAGCTAACTGATATATCTTTTTAATCCCAATTGTGTAATAATGACCTTCTCTCTTCTCACTGACTCATAGCTTTCTTGGTTCTAAGAGAAATATTACCAAGAGCAATACACTTTATTCTGTGAGTCATGTGAAAGTTGTCAGAATCAAAGGAGAGTCACGGATATTAAAGAAAAAACAAAAAGACAAAGAACCTCAACAAAAAGAGCTGAGATCTCCATGAAGAGAGTTCTTAAGTTTGTATGCCCAATAACAAACACTATCACAAAAGACTGGAAAAATCACAACCTTGCACAAAGTCCACTGCATCCTTACACAAAAATATTAATAATTCCACAAGGACATCTGAATAACAACTGTTTCTCCAGCTACATACTACCATCATTCTTGTTATTGATCTTTGTAGCCAAGGATAAGTATTTCAAAACACTTATGTAATCATCCTCATTTTTTCCTTTAAAAACTTTTGTCTTCCTTTACTTCCCTGAATACACAGGTAATCTACTATGACATGTATATTCCCATTGCAGTGCTATAGTCCCAAATACAGATCTTTTCTTTTAGAGAGCCTTCTCTGCTTGTTATTTAGCTTGACAGTCACAAATTGTTTGCTAATTCAGCAATATACTGATGTGTTTTGGGGTATGGACTTGGACAATAAGATTCCCCATATTTAGGTTCATGAGACTTTCTACTACTCCCTAGTAGCCACTAGTTTATGAACCATGCATGCAGGAAGAACATGGAGGAAAGTAATTTAACCAACATTAATAAAGTGTGTTAAGAATTTTCACTTATATGTGCAAAATATTATGCCACTTGGCTCCCCTGGGCTATGTCATAACCCACAGCCTAGAGGTTAATATCCATCTCAGGATTCTATCAACGTCAACTCACATCAAGTCAGAACACATAAATGACAGAAAACCCACTACCACAGGATGAAGGTGATGCTGTGGCATGCCACAGGCCTTTGTCAGGTTCCGGACTGCTGATGCCCGGCTAGACACAGCTGAGGCTAATCAGCTAAGGATTTGACTATCTCCACAATAAACCTGGAAATTGCACCTTTTAAAATGTGAGATGCTTCTCACCACTGTTCTCTGGACCCCATGTCACAGAGGAAAGATACAATCCCAAGGAATGAAGGCCTTTATTTTTTTCCTTCCAACCTTTTTTCTCCCTCCCTCTCTCTTGCTGTCTTTCTTTCTCATCTCCTCTAGGTGGGTTAGTTTTACACAAAAGAATTTCACCCCAAAGGCAATCACAGCAGCAACAAAAATAAATAAATGGGACATGATCAAACTACAAAGCTTCTGCACAGCCAAAGAAATAGTCATGAAAGTAAACAGACAACCTACAGAATGGGAGAAAATTTTTGCATCCTATGCATCCGATAAGGGACTGATAACTAGAATATACTTAGAACTCAGGAAAATTAGGAAGAAAAAATCAAATAACCCCATTAAAAAGTGGGCAAAGGACTTGAACAGAAACTTTTCTAAAGAAGACAGAAGAATGGCCAACAAACATATGAAGAAATGCTCAACATCTCTAATCATCAGGGAAATGCAAATCAAAACCACAATGAGATATCACTTAACCCCAGTGAGAATGGCCTTTATCAAAAAATCTGCAAACAATAAATGCTGGCGTTGTTGCGGAGAGAGAGGAACACTCCTACACTGCTGGTGGGACTGCAAACTAGTTCAACCTCTGTGGAAAGCAATATGGAGATACCTTAAAGCAATACAAGTGAATCTACCATTTGATCCAGCAATCCCATTGCTGGGCATCTACCCAAATGATCCAGTGACACTCTACAAAAAAGACACCTGCACTTGAATGTTTATAGCAGCACAATTCATAATTGCAAGGCTGTGGAAACAGCCCAAGTGCTCATCAATCCAAGAATGGATTAATAAAATGTGGTATATGTATACCATGGAGTACTATTCAGCTCTAAGAAACAATGGTGATATAGCACATCTTATATTTTCCTGGTTAGAGCTGGAACCCATACTACTAAGTGAAGTATCCCAAGAATGGAAAAACAAACACCAGATATATTCTCCAGCAAACTGGTATTAACTGAGTAGCACCTAAGTGGACACATAGGTACTACAGTAATAGGGTATTGGGCAGGTGGGAGGGGGGAGGGGGACGGGTATATACATACATAATGAGTGAGATGTGCACCATCTGGGGGATGGTCATGATGGAGACTCAGACTTTTGGGGGGAGGGGGGAAATGGGCATTTATTGAAACCCTAAAATCTGTACCCCCATAATATGCCAAAATAAAAAAAAATAAAAAATAAAAAAAAAAAAAGAATTTCACCTTTCAACTTTTGGCTGTGTGCAATTTGCTGACTCAAAATGAACAAAATAATTCACATTGTACCATGATCTGAGAGAGAACTTGGCATGAGGCTGCCTTGCTAAAATTTAATTCACAGTAATCATTAATCTTACCAAAACCTGGAACTTATTTCTACAGTAGCCAGGGCAGGAAAAATACTGTGGCCCATCTCCAGGTGTGTACTGGTACCCTGCAGCCTGTGCCAACTTCTTAACCAGGACTCAAGACTCTTACCTGCTCACTAACCACCATCTCTCACCAACCATGGCTACCTTTGTGGAGCTCAGTACCAAAGCCAAGATGCCCATCATCGGCCTGGGCACTGGGCAGGTAAAATGCGAATCTTTGGACACTCCGCTTCCCTGAAGGGGCATCTGGGGGTCCTTTCCTCTCTGCATTCAGCTGGGAAAGCCCTTAGCCTGGGCAGGGGTTTGGCAAGATGAGATTCAGCCGTAGAACCAGGACCCAAGTTGCTTTCTTTTTCAGGGTTGATTCAGGCTGCAAGGTTCCAAGACTGCATGAGAGCTTCTCTTGCAAACTTTAAGCCTCAAGCAGGAGCTGGACTTAAAATTGTTACCCAGGGAAATTTCTCTAAAACACTCCTTGGATCTATAACACTTAAGGAGGTCCAATATTTCAGAAGTCTTGGCCATTTTCTATGTGCTGGGTGGCTGAGAGGAAAGGATGCAGAGCTCTGAATGCCCTGGTACTTCTTGCTGGCCACAGTGTGAGACTAGGACCAGCAGCTCGTTACAAATGCAGAGTCTCTTGGGTAGATGCCTGATAATGCTATTGCTGAGTCCATTGGTATTTCTGTTTTTAGCTTTTTGAGGTATCTCCAAATTCTTTTCTACAAAGGTTGCACTAATTTGCAGTCCTACCAGCAGTGTAAGAGTGTTTCTATCTCTCCACATCCTTGCCAGCATTTGTTGTTTGGGGATTTCTTGATATAGGCCTATCTCACTGGGGTTAAGTGATATCTCATTTTGGTTTTGATTTGCATTTCTCTAATAATTAGAGATGTTGAGCATTTTTTATGTTTGCAAGCCATTATTCTGTCTTCTTTGGAAAAGTTTCTGTTCATTTCCATTGCCCATTTCTTGATGTGGTTGTTTGATTTTTTTCTTGTTAATTCTTTTGAGTTCTATCTAGAGAGATTCTTGTTATCAGACCTTTATTGGAAGTGTAGAGAGAAAATATTTTCTCCCATTCTGTAGATCATCTATTCGCTCTAATGATAGTTTCCTTGGCTGAGCAGAAGCTTTTTAATTTGATGAGATCCCATTTGTTTATTTTTGTTGCTGCGGTGATTGCTTTGGGGGTCCTCTTCAAGAATTCTTTGCCTAGACCAATGTCAGAAAGGGTTTTCCCAACATCTTCTAGGATTCTTAAGGTTTCATGCCTTAGATTTAAGTCTATTATCCATCTTGAGTGGATTTTTGTGAGAGGTGAGAGGTAGGGATCCTGATTCATTCTTCTGCATGTAGCTATCCAGTTTTCCCAGCACCATTTATTGAAGAGAGATTCTTTTCCCCAGTGTATATTTTTGTCTGCTTTATCCAAGATTAGGTTACCATATGCATAAGACATTCTATTATAAAGACATCTGCATCCAAATGTTTATGGCAACACAATTCACTATTGCAAGGACGTGGAAACAACCCAAGTGCCTGTCAATTCATGACTAGATTATTAAAATTTGGTATATGTTTACAATGGAATATTACTCAATTCTAAGAAATGACAGTGAGTTAGCACCGCTTATATTATCCTGGACTGAGCTTAAGCCCATTATCCAAAGTGAGGTGACACTAGATCAGAAAACTGGGCTCCACATGTACTTGCCATCAAATTGGTACTGACTGATTATCACTATGATGCTCAAAGGGTGGTGGTGTTCACCAGGGATTCGGGGGTAGGGAGGGTAGACCCACATCTGAGGGATGTGGTGAACAGTGTGGAGGGGAAAGGCATACCTCTAATCCTTGCTAGGGAGAGGCAAGGATATAAAATGTAACCAAAATGTTAAAAAAAAACACACACACATTTATTGGGTGTCGGGCAGGTGGGAGGGGGGAGGAGGGGATGGGTACATACATACATAATAAATGCAATGTGCACTGTCTGGGGGATGAACACACTTGAAGCTCCGACTCCATGGGGGAAGGAAGGCAAGAGAAATGTAGTAACATTAACATTTGTACCCCCATATTATGCTGAAATAAGACAAAACAAAACAACAAATGCAGAGTCTCAGGCTGCACCCTAGGCTACTAAACTGGCGTCTGCACATTCACAAGATCCCCAGGTGGTTCCTATGCATGTTAAAGTCTGAGACATACTGAGACCACAAAAGGACCTGGGCTGGGGGTCAGAAGCTCTGGTTCCAGCTGGCTGTGTAAATGTCAGCAGACAAAACCCAGGAAGGCACATCCTGTGCTCAAGGAGGCAGATCCTGAGCTCTCTTGGGGTGAGTTTGGCATTGTTCCTCTTCCTCTAACTCTGCCTTCTTTGCCATTTCCATCGATGGGTAGCACCTCCCTAACTAGGTACCAGGAGCAATGCTTGGATTTCCTGTTCCTTCTTGTCCCTCACGGCTAATCTCCTGTAGAGTCTGCCTCCTTTACTTTGTCCTTGTTTGCACCCACGTTCACCATCTGTTCTCCTGGGCTGGAGGGCAGGAGCCCTTTTTGTGTCAGTGCTGGGCCTTTCTCAGGGTGCCTTCCTGGTCATCCTGGGTGAGCAGGTGAGACTCGTTTGTTTCATTCTCAGCTTCTCAATAGCTACATCTGCCCATATCAGAGTGTGGCAAAGAAGCAATGCAGATCTCCAGGGAATCTGCTCACCCCATACTCATTCACTAGAAATGTTCAGGATTTCTGAATTAGAGGTAAGGATTATGAATGGAGCCCCTTTCAAGATGTGGGAATGATATCCTGTGAAAGGACTGTGTGGGGCTGAGAAAGGGTGTGGTGTCTGGGGCGGGGAACGCCGGGCTGGTTCTAGGTTGCTGGCCGGGCGCCATTCCTTGTCCTGGTGGTGGGGTGGCTGCACATCTCTGTGTTGTGTACTTTCCAGCATGTGTGCATTTCACAACAGAGATTTAAAAACAATTTTGTGGGATTTCAGTTTTACAGGTTTTTCTCACTATTTGGCTTGGTTGTGTTAGACCAAAATATGATGTTTCTAATGTTGTTTTCTTCCTTTTCCTTTTCCTTTCCCTTTCCTGAGGATGGATTAGAAACTTTACTCCCAAAAGGCTTTTCATTTCTCCTTTTCCTGCAAAAATTATGTAACACGTTGCATTTACTGTGTGGGTCAGGTGATGTGCCAACACCTTACACTCATCGTGGTAGGTGATCACCAGGAGAGCCTCACGAGGCAGGTGCTATTGTTTTTCAAAGTTTGCAGACAATGTTCAGGAATATTGAATCATCTCAACCCCACACAGTATATATGTGATGGGGTCTGGACTTAGGCTGTAAGGACCATTTTCCAGATTCTTGGCACTCTTTAGAGAACTTGTCTGAAAATTCCTCTGGGTCATTGAAAGTCCAGTGCTGAGCCTGGTCTTTAGAAAGTTACAGAGAGCACCATTTGCTCCTCCCTCCCAGCTGGAGAAGTAACCTGGATAGAAGGGAGTTGAGTTTTAGCTACGATAGGACATGAGACCCTAATCCGAAATGTAATTAACTTTCTTTTTTTTGAAAAGTATTCGAAAGTTTGTTCTTCACAGGTATGCCCTGGAAAATGGACCCAGGGAGGTTTGAGGAAGTTAAGGTGTGTGGGAGAGGCTGTTGAAAGTGGTCTGGGGACAAGAGGATATACAGTTAGCTGAGCACAGCTCTGGGAACCTATATAGTTCCAGCAACGTGGGAGGCTGAGGCAGGAGGATCACAGGAGTACAGGAGTTCCAGTCCAGCTTGAGTGATGTAGTGTAATCTTATCTCTAAATAAATAAATCAATAAAAGAGTATATGATGGGCTTTCCTTTTGCTTTTGCTATTCAGTCTCCCCCAGACCAAGCCAAAGAAGCTGTGAAGGTGGCCATTGATGCAGGGTATCGCCACATCGACTGTGCTCCCGTCTATGAGAATGAGAGTAAGGTGGGGGAAGCCATCCAAGAGAAGATCCAAGAGAAGGCTGTGAGGCGGGAGGACCTCTTCATCGTCAGCAAGGTACACGGGGCTCCGTAGGGGGAGGACTTCCCTTCAAAGTAGGGGGAAGTATGTGGATCCAGGTCAGCAGCAAGAACTCTCTGGGCCTCTCCTGTATGGACTGATTGTCCACCGTCTTCCTCTCTGCCTGTATAACAGAGGTGGGTGCCATGATGTCCACACTGCAGGCCAGCACTGGGGCAGGAGATGCTGCTGCTCCCCTACACCCGCCTGTGGGTTGGTTTCTTGTAGTTACCCAGAGTCCAGTTATTCAGAACCCTAATGAGTCCCCTGTTCCCTGCCTGGGGGGGGGGGTCCATCTGCCCAGTGGGAGTCAGAGGCTGGGGTGCAGTGAGGGCTTCATGCCGACCCCGCCTCCCAGCACTGCAGTCTCAGTGGTGCCGCCCTGAGTTCTCAGCCAGGGGGTGTTTTGGAAAACAGTGGGGGCTTTTTTGTTCTCACATAGGAATTTCTTCTTGGTTCAGTGTGGTAAAAGGAGAAAGGGTGTGAAGTCCTTGTGTGGGGGGAGGAAGAAAGACTTCTCACACAGAATTTAGGATAGAGAGAGTACAAAGTTTACTTATTGCAGTGAGAGAGAAGAAGAGAGTGGCCACAGCACACAGGAGGGAGTGAAATTGCTGACAGCTGATGGAAAGTTGCTTGGAGTTTTAAAGGGTAAAAGGGGTTTTTTTTTGCTCTCTGCTTTAGCAGACTGATAACGGAAATAGCAGAGAAGTTGTTGCAGGTTTTCTTTATTTGTTTTTTTCTTTCCTTTATGCGGCCAGCTTCTCTGAGTCCTTGAAATCTGTCTGGCAAGAGTGGAGGCAGAGAATTTGAACAGGGAGCTCACACCCTGCTGCCTGTTTAGGGCTCTTCAAAGCTGAGAAAATGAAGTACTTAGAGAGAACCAGTTAGGCCACAGGTGTTTTAATGAAAACAAAGGGGGTCATTGTGTTTGTTGTGAGTTTTCTCTTCAAAGGGGCAATTATGTGTTGTCAGTTTATTTCCCTTACTTTCCGTTTGATAGTTTATTTTCCTCTGTTAGGTTATTAGTAAGACCACCTTTCCAAAGGTGAGTTATGAAATGTCATAAATAAAGAAGTAGCTATTGGGTGTGAGGGGTAGAGGGTCACTGGATTTGTTTAATACACAACTTGCCAAAAAACACTAGTTTCAGGTACTTGGAAAGAACACGCCATGTGTTGGGAGCAATAGACTCCAAGGTATGCGGTGGTCAAGCGTATAGAAACTGCTGGTAAAGTCATTCTTAGGGCCCAATAGGCTTGGAGATAGCGCAGTGCAGAAAAAGGACCCTCTGCTCCCAAAGGCATAAGCATGCTTGAGATTTGGAAGCTAGACACAAGTCCTGCTCTCAGACAAGCAACAGCTGAGGAAGAGAATTACACAAGAAAATAAATATCTAATCAGTGGCCACATTTGCTAAATGATATCAGAACATGTACAGTACTGAGAGAGGTCAAAATAAATGACCTTCAAGTCTTAAGAAATGTCATTGACTTGCTGAGCCCTGGTGACCTTCCATACCGGATCATGTATTGTAACCAATTTTGTTATAAATGTCTTGTCTCCAGCTTAGATCAGGGTACAAATCAAAAATCAAGGAGAATGACAATGATGGGGCCCTCTGTCTCCCCAGTATTAAGGTCTCATCCCTACCCTCTTTGCAGCTGTGGCCTACCTGCTTTGAGAGAACCCTCCTGAAGGAAGCCTGTCAGAAGACCCTCAAGGACCTGAAGCTGAGCTACCTAGACCTCTATCTGATTCACTGGCCACTGGATTTACAGGTTTGAGCTGCCCCCTTGCTCAGTATCTAGTTTCTGAGCAGATGCCAGAACATGGCAGTTGTGCTAGGGCTGGGCATGCCATGGGCTGGAGAGGAGGACTTGCCTTGCAGAACTGTGACCTGCAGGTTGTGGAGAGGAGACTATGGAGCAGAAAGTCCTGTCCTGGAAGGGGGCCAAGCCACATGTGACTGTTGAGTTGGCCACATGCCAGGCTGTAATTGATGTTATCTCAGAGAGAAGCCATGATTTCTGGCAGCCCAGACAACTGGCACTGCCATATCTTTGTCTTGATTCTATGTTCAGAGTTCTCTTCCAGGAGAACTCTTGGAATATTCTTGCATAATACTATTTCAGGGCTCCACTCTCTTATTAACCAATGCACTTCCTGGGAGTGGCATCTTGGAGAAAAGTCTAACTGTGGTGCCACTGGAAGGTACCAGACGGTCCACATATAAGAAGTAGTACTCATGGCCTGGGGTTCTCCCCTGTGTGCTCCTGCCTGCTTCTAAAAGGTGGGAGGGACATGAGTTCACAGCTAGAGTGATGATGGCTTGCCACCCCTAACTCCACACTTCTACCAGTGTGAAGTAGAAGGCTAGAGGCTGCAAAGATACAATTATCCCAGAATACCATATCCTTAAGACCTAACCCTTATCTAGTGGCCCTGAAATTAAAGTTTTCCAGCTTGTATATGAGGTCTGAGTCTATGAGGTTAATGTGCATGGTGATAATTCTGGATTCTGGAATGTGCTGGTATTGGATTTTAAAATTAATCCAGCAGTTTCTCAAATATAAGAGTTTACCGTCTATTGTAGATTGATATAGAGATTTGTTGAAACTTATGTTCTTGAAGTGTATACTCCAGAGCTTGAAAAAAATGGTATACAGATGTGAGTGCTTAGCATGAGTCAGGATCCTGAAACCTTGTTTCACAGAAGAAATGTCTGGATACAGATTCCAGTTAACTTTTTTGTTCTGCATTCACAGCCTGTGAATAACTTTTCCCCCGAAGATGACAAAGGCAATATCCTTGGCAGTAAAATAACATTCTTGGATGCCTGGGAGGTAGGTTCCAGCTTCTTCTAAGTGTGTTCGTGGGAGAACTTTTCTCCAGTCCACGAGACTCCACACTGGTATGCAGGAGCCCACAATCCTGATTCTGTCTAATGTCATCATTGTCGTTCTCTAGCCCTTCCACTCCTTCCTTATCACCTTTGGCTTTTGGGTCCATCTGACACTACTAAAATTTCAATGCTAACACTGAGTCCTCAAATGAGACTGGAAACATGATGTGCCCAGTGTGGGAGCCACACCTGATATTTCTGAAATTAGAGGGAGGCATGGAGAGCAAAAATTTTGGCCTGGATGTGCACAAAATAGCTGAGAAATCTAGGGTAAGTTTTCTAACTCCTGTAAACTTCAGTTTCCTCGTGTTAAAAAAAAGTTTTCTAATTCATACTAATAACACATATTCTTAGGATGTGGCGAAGATTAAGATAACTGTCATGCCAGGAACTTTAGTCATAGAGCGCATGTAATCATCCAACCCTATGAGGCAGTGTTATCCACATTTACAAATAATAAAATTGAGATCTGGATAGGTTGGTGCCTAGTGCAATTCACAAGGCAAGTGTGTGGTAGAGCTATCATTCTATTGTGTATCTCCTTGAGGTCAGGTTTATAAGCTCCCACCTGTGAGAAGTTGCAGTGTTTGTCTTTCTGAGCCTGAGTTCTTTCACTGGACATAAAGTCCTCCAGTTCCATCCATGCTGCTGCAAATGACATCATTCAATCTTTTTATGGCCAAATTATATTCCATTGTGTGCACACACATAAATATGTACACACTACATTTTCACGGACACTTAGATTGCTTTCATATTTTTGCCATTGTGCACAGTGCTGTGATAAACATGCAAGTGCAGGTATCCTTTTGATATACTGATTTCTTTTCCTATGGAAAATCCCAGTAGTGGGATTGCTGGATTCATATGGTCATCTATTTTTAGTTTCTTTTGACATCTCCATACTGTTTTCCATAGTGGTTGTATTAGTTTACAGTCCCACCCAGAGTGTACAGCAGTTTCCTTTTCTCCACATATGGATAGTTTTTAAAGACTGTTCTGAAGCTCTCTGGGTTATGTGTAAAAAGAAAAATCCAAAAAACAACCAGCTGTAATAATGAGCCATCAGTAGTGTTATCATTAGATTTGTTCGGCAAGGATATATCCCTTGCAGTTCAGTTCTACAAGTCAAAATTAGCAATAGAAAAAACACAATGATTTTTGTATTAATAACTAAGAGCCATACTAAGCAAATTACTGAAAATATATTTTATGAACAAGAGACTACATGAAAGTCAGTACTCTTGAGAAAATCTATAGAGGCATCAGTTTAGGTCTGTTTCCTTCCTGACATGATGGTATAAATACATGGTAAAATGTGACAAAATACCATTAATGTACAAGCTGTGAGCTGGTTGAGCCCACATACTAGAAAGAGTATCTAAACTACAAGTTGAAACTGATGGTTTTTTTTAAAAAAATTATATATTGTTTTTACTTTAATGATCCCACAAGTCATTATCCAACTAAGTATCCCTAGGTACTAGTTTGATATTTTTACTAAAATGAATTTATTAACCTTTACCCATAAAAAAATATATTACTTTCTTTTTGAGAGTGACAAAATTATACATGAAGGAAAATTGAATTCTGGTACATAACTATAGAAAAAGACGAACATCTTTATTTCCTGCCATAAAAAATCTTCTTGTTGGAGAAAACTTTGGAGATTGCTGTACTCAACCCAATGAATATTTTATTGGTGAGAATAAAAATTGTGGCAAGATTCACAATATAGCGTAAGATTTCTGTGCTCATCTTTGCATTAAGTTTCCTAGGAGGGTTGTGTCATATCTGTTACCCTGGTAAAAGATGACCTCTTAAATTTTATCTTAGAAATTATTCATTGTGACATATATAAACTAGCACACCACTAACATTAGTTCCACAAAATGTTTTGCCCTAGCTCTTATGATGATATTAAGTATGACAATCAATATCTCATGGTCCTTTGCAAAATGTACCCTGGTTTCAACAATGCTATGTCTTCTCAACAAATATAATAATGATTACTAAATAAAACATTCTGAAGGCATGTAAAATTATCAATGATCAAGGTCAGAGGTTGTGATTCCAATCAGGGAGGATTGAAATATAAGTGTTAGATATTTAGATGGACTCAAAATAAGTTCAGGAGAAAGCTCATTGACCAGAATGAAGTAGGGGGTGGGGTGAGAAAAGCATAAAGAAGTTGAGACGTATCATGTAGGCAAACTAAACCTCTAGCCTATGACACAAAATAACTTTTATGTTAACTCATTGCCCACTTGGTAGTTTTAGGGACCTTAGGATTTGACCAATTCTAAACTCTGTTTCCCACATTGAAGAGGCTCTGGGGGTGGAACGCAGGCATCAGGAGTCTTCTCTGAAGCTCTCAGGTGATTTCAAAGCCAGAGGTGTGAACCACTGGGTAGTGTCCCCTGAACCCACCGTGCTTCCTCCTGCCTCTAAGCCTTTGCTCCTGCTTTCCTCCCTCCCCTCTCATTTTCCCCTTTTCTCTAGGTTGTTTTTTTTTTTTTTTTAACTCTACCCATAAGGTCTCCTCAATGACTCTATTCCATATAAATCCCTTCCTTCTCTACCCTCCCTGCTTCTAGTGCTGTGCCATTGTCACTGTATCTGAGGGAGTCTCAGCATTGTGACTGTTTTTCTCACAGACAGGAACCCCAGGACTTCACTAGGCCTGTAAGGATCTCAGAAGAAGGAAGCACTTTGTAAACTTTTATTTATTTATTTTAATTTTTTTATTTCAGCCTAATATGGTGGTGCAAATGTTAAGGTTACATGCATTGCTCTTGTCTTCCCTCCCCTCTCAAGTCAGAGCTTCAAGCATGTCCATCCCCCTGACAATGCACATCGCAAGTGTGTGTGTGTCTGTGTGTGTGTGTGTGTGTGTGTGTGTGTGTATACCTATCCCCTCCTCCCTCCTCCTACCTGCCCAACATCTGATAAATGTTTTTTGTGTTTTTTATTTAACATTTTGGTTAGATTTTATAACTTTGCCTTTACCTAGCAAGGGTTAGAGGTATGCCCTTCCCCTCCACACTGTTCACTACATCCCTCAGATGTGGGCCTACCCCCCACCCCCCGAATCTCTGGTGAACACCACCACCCTTTGAGCACCATAGTGATAATCAGTCAGTACCAATTTGATTGTGAGTACATGTGGAGCCCATTTTTCTGGTCTTGTGTTACCTCACTTTGGATAATGGGCTTAAGCTCAATCCAGGATAATATAAGTGGTACTAGCTCACTGTTGTTTCTTAGAATTGAATAATATTCCATTGTAAACATATACCAAATTTTAATAATCCACTCATGAATTGACAGGCACTTGAGTTGTTTTCACATGCTTGCAATAGTGAATTGTGTTGCCATAAACATTTGGATGCAGATGTCTTTATAATAGAATGTCTTATGCTCTTTGGGGTAGATGCCTAATGATGCTATTGCTGGGTCGAATGGTATTTCTATTTTTAGCTCTTTGAGGTATCTCCAAATTATTTTCCACAAGGTTGCACTAATTTGCAGTCCCACCAGCAGTGTAAGAGTGTTCCTGTTTCTCTACATCCTTGCCAGCATTTGTTGTTTTGGGATTTCTTGATACAGGCCAATCTCACTGGGGTTAGGTGGTATCTCATTTTGGTTTTGATTTGCATTTCTGTAATGATTAGAGATGTTGAGCATTTTTTATATGTTTACAGGCCATTATTCTTTCTTCTTTGGAAAAGTTTCTGTTTCCCATTTCTTGATTTGGTTGTTTAATTCTTTCTCGTTAATTCTTTTGAGTTCTAGATAGATTCTTGTTATCAGACCTTTATCAGAAGTGTAGAGAGAAAACATTTTCTCCCATTCTGTAGGTCGTCTATTCACTCTAATGATAATTTCTTTGGCTGACAAGAAGCTTTTTAATTTGATGAGATCCCATTTGTTTATTTTTGTTGCTGCAGTGATTGCTTTAGGGGTCTTCTTCAAGAATTCTTTGCCTAGACCAATGTTAGAAAGGGTTTTCCCAACATCTTCCTCTATGATTCCTAGGGTTTCATGCCTTAGGTTTAAGTCTGTTATCCATCTTGAGTAGATTTTTGTGAGAGGTGAGAGGTAGGAATCCTGATTCATTCTTCTGCATGTAGCTATCCAGTTTTCCCAGCACTATTTATTGAAGAGAGATTCTTTTCCCCAATGTATATTTTTGTCTGCTTTATCAAAGATTAGGTTACTATATGCTGATGGTTTCATCTCTGGAATCTCAGACCTATTCCAAATATCAATGCTTCTGTTCTTGTGCCAGTACCAGGCTGATTTAATTATGATTGCTTTATAGTACAGCTTGAAGTGAGGAAGACTCCCAGTTTGTTCTTTCTACTTAAAATTGCTTTGGCTATACGCATTTTTTTCTGGTTCCATACAAAGTGAAGAATTATTTTTTCCATATCTGTGAGGAATGATGGTGGTACTTTAATGGGGATTGCATTAATTCTGTAGATGACTTTAGGTAATACTGACATTTTAACGATATTGTTTCTACCAATCTATGAACAAGGTAGATTTTCCATCTGTTTACATCTTCTACAATTTTTTTTTTTAGTGTTTCATAGTTCTCCTTGTATAAGTCTGTCATCTCTTTTGTTAAATATATTCCTAGATATTTAATTTTTGGTGGGAGCTATGGTAAAAGGAATTGCATTTTTGATTTGAGCTTTGGCTTGAGTGTTCTTGGCATATATGAATGCCTCTGATTTGTGTATGTTGATTTTGTAACCTGAGACTTTTCTATGTATAATATCATATCATCTGCGAAGAGCGAGAGTTTGATCTCATCTGCACCCACTTAGATGCCCTTAATATCCCTCTCTTCCCTGATTTCTATAGCTAGGACTTCGAGCACTATGTTGAATAGAAGAGGAGATAGGGGGCATCCTTGTCTAGTTCTGATTCGAAGTAGAAATGGTTTCAATTTTTCCCCATTCAGTATGATATTGGCCATGGGTTTGTCATAAATGAATTTCATAATTTTAAGGTATAAGGTACCTATGCCTATTTTGTTCAGAGTTTTTATCATAAAGGTGTGTTGGACTTTGTCAAATGCTTTTTATGCATCTCTTGAGAGAATCATATGGTCTTTGTTCATGTTTTTATTTACGAGGCGAATTGCATTTATAGACTTGAGTATGTTGAACCAGCCTTGCATCCCTGGAATAAAGCCCACCTGGTCATGGTGAATTATTTTTTTGATGTGCTGCTGAATTCTGTTTGCTAGAGTTTTGTTTATGATTTTTGCATCTATATTCATGAGGGATATTGGTCTGTAATTTTCTTTTTTTGTTGCATCCTTTCCTGATCTTGGTATCAAGGTAATATTGGCTTCATAGAATGAGTTAGGAAGGATATCATCCTTCTCAATGTTGTGGAATAATTTCTGTAGTATAGGTATGAGTTCATCTTTGTATGTTTGGTAGAACTCTGAAGTGCAGCCATCTGGTCCAGGACTTTTCCGTTTGGGGAGGTTGTTTATTACTGCTCCAATTTCTGTGCTTGAGAATGGTCTATTCAGGAATTCTGTTACTTCCTGGGTGAACTTACGGAGGTTGTATGTATCCAGGAATTTGTCCATTTCTTCCTCATTATGTAGTTTGGGGGCATATAGATTTCTATAGTAGTCAAACATAATGTTTTTTTTTTTTATTTTTGTGGTGTCTGTTGTGACCTCCCCTTTTTCATTTCTTATTGAGTTCATTAGAGTCCTTTCCCTTTGAGTTCTTGACAGTCTAGCCAGAGGGCTATCAATTTTGTTTATCTTTTCCAAAAACCAACTTCTGGTTTTGTTGATCTTCTGTATAATTCTCTTGTTCTCCATTTCATTTAGTTCTGCTTTGATCTTAGTTATTTCTTTTCTTCTGCTAGGATTGGAATTGGTTTGCTCTTCTTTTTCCAATTCCTTGAGTCTATTCATTAGGTTGTCAATATCTAATATTTCTGTTTTTTGGATGTGAGCATTAATTGCTGTTAGTTTTCCTCTCAGATATGCTTTTGCTGTATCCCACAGGTTTTGATAACATGTGGCTCTATTATCAGTTTGTTCAAAGAAACTCTTGATTTACTTCTGAATTTCTTCCTTGGCCCAATAATTCTTCAATAATAGATTGTTTCATTTTCATGACTTTTTGAGGTGTTGAGTGTTTCTATAGGAATTGAACTCTAATTTTATACCAGTATGATCAGAGAAGACACATAGTATTATTTCTATTTTCTTGAATTTTTTGAAATCTGCTTTGGGGCCTAGTATGTGATCAATTTTGGAGAAGGATCCATGGGCTGCTGAGAAAAATGTAAATTCAACTTTATTTGGGTGGAATGTTCTGTAGAGATCTGTCAGACCTTTTTGGTTAAGAGCTTTGTTTAAGCCCCTTATTTCTTTACTTAATTACTGTTTGGAGGATCTATCCAGTTAATTCAGTGGAGTGTTTAAATCTCCTGCTACTATGGTAGTATTGTTTAACATGGTATTTAGATTAGACAAGGTTTGCTTTATGTGACTGGGTGCTCCTGCATTGGGTGCATAAATATTAAGAATTGTTAAATCTTCTTGTTAGATCTTCCCTTTCACTATTATAAAGTGGCTGTTTTTATCTTTTTTTACTTTTGCTCTTTTAAAGCTTATGTTGTCTGCAAATAGTATAGCTACCCCTGCTTTCTTTTGACTTCCCTTTGCCTGGATGATAGTTTTCCATTCCTTGACCTTCAGGCAGAAGACATCTTTGTGGGTTAGATGTGTTTCCTGTAGACAGAAAATACTAGGCTTGTGGAATTTTATCCACTCTGCCAGTCTATGCCTCTTCAGAGGAGAGTTTAAACCATTTACATTTATTGAGAGGATTGAAATTGGAGGAAGATTTCCATTCATATTGTTGAAGTCTTGTTGCTTTGACTTGCTCCTTGAGCCATCTTGCAGTTCAAGATCTAGTCTTTAATTCTTTGAAGATTATACTTTGAGGAGCGTCTATTGCCCTGTTCAGTGTGGAAGGTAGGTCTGAGAACTTCCTGTAGGGCTGGTCTGGTCTTTACAAATTCTTTCAGTGATTGCTCATCTGAGAAGGACTTTATTTCTCCCTCATAGATGAAACTTAATTTTGCCAGATAAAGAATTCTAGTTTGGGCTTTATTCTGTTTTAGAAGAGTAAGGATAGCCACCTACTCTCTCCTGGCTTGTAAGGTTTTAGATGAGAAGTCTTCTGTTAGTCTGATAGGCTTTCCTTTATAGGTTATTTGTTGTTTTTGCCTTGCTGCATGGAGGATTGCTTCTTTCACGTTTCCTTTGGTCAGCCTAATAACCACATGATCAGGTGATTGCCTATTCACATTGAGTCTCCCCAGAGTTCTGTGTGCTTCTTGTATTTGAACATCAAGACTTCTTGCCAGGCCCGGCATATTTTCCTCCAATATTCTGTGAAATAAGTTTTCCAACCCTTGTGAATGTTCCTCTTCCCCTTCTAGAATCCCGATAATCTGAGGTTTGGCTTTTTTACATAATCCCACACTTCTTGTAAGCTTTGGTCTTATCTCTTGTTTCTGTGCTCCCTTTCTTCCTCTGATTTGTTTAGCACATAGGCATAATCTTCAAGCTCTGAGATTTTTCCTTTGCATGATATATCCTGTTTTTGAGGATTTCCATTGTATTATGGCGTTCCTTGAATGTTTCCTTCATTGCCAGAATTTCTGATTGGTTTTTCTGTATTATTTCAATTTCTTTGGAGAATTTTTCATTCATTTCCTGAATTGTTCTTATGGGTTCTCTATGTTGGGATTCTATTTTCTCTTCAATTCCATTGAGTTTTCTAACAATCTATATTTGGAATTTGTCCTCCGTCAGTTTAATCATATCATGTGAGTTGGTGTCAGTTGGTGGAGATCAAGTATTTTCTTTTGGAGGTGACTTTTCTCTCTGATCCTTCATTGTCCCCATTATCTTTCACTGGTTCCTCCTCATTTGCATGCTTTGTTGAGGACTGGAGGTGCTGGGACTCAATTATGAGCTAAGTTCTGGGGTTCCAATGGAATGATCCTTGGAAGAGCTGCGGGATATGTGCTCTGGTACTATATTATCTTAAAGGAGTTTGAGCCTGTTGGGTTATATTTGACCTGATGTCTTCACCTTCTGTCTACAGAATTTAGTGGTTTTGGGCCCCTTGCTTAGACAACCAGGTGTTTGATCACTCTTGTGAGATCGAGACCAAAATCAACCACTAGATTGAAGTGAGAGGCACTGTATTAGGCTCTGAGTTTACTCTTTCTTTTGTCATTTGTGGTTTGCGAGAAGGAGTTAATTATCAAGGTTTTCCAAGACCTTTGTATTGCACTCTAGCCTCCAAATAGGATATAGACATATTTCAGTCTTAAGGGAATGTCCTGCCACTCCCAAGGGTTCCCAGAGTCCTGTAATTACTTTAGGAAGGGTGATAGGAGCATCAGGTATCAGTGAGCCTAGGAGAGAATACTTCAGAGGATTCTTGATCTGTAGCTAGGGGGGAGCTGTTAATATGTTATTCAGAGATCTTTTGTTACACTTTCAGATGAGCTTCTGGTGGGGAGAGTCAATTGGTCCAATTGCTAAGGACTATGGTCAAGATTTTCGTTCCTGAACCACAGGCCCATACATTGGCAACTATCTGGGTGGCAAAGGCAAGCACCTATATTCTGAACTTATCAGATGATCAAAACCAACCAGTTGAATGTAAACATCACTCTGCCTACTTCTGCTTAATTCCAAGGACCCACATATTCAAGCTAGTCCTACAGGGAAAGTCCCTTTTCTCATTTCTCTCAACCTTCCAGGGCTGAGTCTGGTTTGGTGGGCTGGGGGGAGGCAATGAGTGGGATTGCTGCAAGTCCTAGACTAGGAAACATCTTTTCTCATTTTACCCCTCCCCCAAGGGTAGAGTTTGCTCTGTCAGAGGGGAAGATAACCCACCATCCTGAGGGAAAGGCACTTTCTAGGGCTATGTGACCAAGACATGGTTACCCTCGTACCTGTACCCCACCCAGGATGGGGTTTATCAAGTTGGTATGTGGTTTAAATCTCAGAGCTGTTGGAGAAGCCCTGCCTGAGGCCACTGAGGGTCCCAGACCAGAAAGAGACCTGCCACGACACTCAGCCCCTGCCAGGGTGGGGTCAGTCCGTTTTACTCAATACCCCTGTGGCCTGGTCGCCTCCAAGGGTCGTCTTCAACCCTGGCAGATCTCAGCCCAGACAGCAGATTCCCTTACTCCTCCCCAATTCCCAGGAATGGGACTTCACCTTTGGCTGGAGGCACCAGCTATCAGGCTACAGTAGAGAGGTAAAGACGGGACTCAGCTTGATAGGCTGTCCTGATAAGCTGGACCTGACACTGATGGGCACCCCAGCCTGGACTGCAGTTTCCTTTCACTGCTGCAGCCCACCCTGCTGCGGTGGATGCTCTACCTACATCTCCTACCCCAGAGACACTGAGGCAAGCCAGGGCCCCTGCTATCCCTCTGGGTGCACAAGAGGTGTCCCTTCCCTGACAGGCCCTGGAGGAGCTGGTGGATGAGGGGCTGGTGAAAGCCCTTGGCATCTCCAATTTCAACCACTTCCAGATCGAAAGGCTCTTGAACAAACCCGGACTGAAATATAAACCAGTGACTAACCAGGTAAATTCCGTCTGGGAAGAGGGTAGGGGTCTTGACCTATTACTGCTTAAATGTTTGGAGGCCAATTTGATGCTACCTACTCAGTCTCTCCTCAGTGTCAGTGGTCAGGGCACTTTGGGGAGCTGTGAGACTGCTCTCAGGGTGGGTTAGCAAGTGTGTCAGTGGGAAGGTGTTTGGCCTTTGCTTGGTGGTCTTTCTCTGTGTGTAGAACCAATTATGAACAACTCAAATAGTAGGCCGATTTCCCTGGTGCTGAGGACTGTTTGATTTTTCAGGTTGAGTGTCACCCATTCCTTACACAGGAGAAACTGATCCAGTACTGCCACTCCAAGGGCATCACTATCACGGCCTACAGCCCCCTGGGCTCTCCAGATAGACATTGGTGAGGCTTCTGAGTGGTGGATCTTTCTCTTAATACTCTTAAAATATTATCTTTTAGTTGGTTAATGTATTTGTCAGATTATAATTTATTGGAAGGAAAAATGTATCTATGGTAATGTATTTGGTATACCCAAATACTGTGAAAAAAAAAAAAAGGAAATTAAAGTGGTGACAACCCTGATCATGTGATAATACTCTAGGTCACCCACCTAGGACTTTACTGGACCAGCTTTGTAAAATGCTGAGGTTCCAGAGCCTATGGGTGGACCCAGGAAACGACCCTAAGCTTTAAGGTCTTCCTGCCTGGAAGATGGAGAGGCTGTGATGATTCTACTTGAGCCATCATTGTGGTGAAGATTCATATCCACCATTTTACTGCCTGCAGGCCCAAGCCAGGTGACCCTTCTCTACTGGAAGATCCCAAGATTAAGGTGATTGCTGCAAAGCACAAGAAATCCACCGCTCAGGTACATTGTTTTTTGGTTTCTTTTTTTTAATTCAGCAATTACTTCTTCCAGTCTTGTGTTAAACCATGTTTATTTAAGTCCTTGAAGGGGAAGAAAACAGAGGGTGAAGCTCACTAATATGCTTTTTTGAAAGTGTGTTGGGATCTCCCGGAAATACTAGAAGAGTCACAGAAACAAGAATCACCTCTAATAGCTTCCTGTGAAGCCCAACAGCCCGGTGGCAAAGCATGGCTTTGAGGTCTTGATATCTGGGTTTAGATTTCACTTCTACCACATATCAGCCTTATGACATGCAAGCCACTTTTCTTACTCCTAAACAAGGACAATCATAGGGCTGTTACTAGGATTGAGGGAGTTAATCAAGCTGAGGACTGGAAGAGTCTCTGATAGTTGTTAAATGCTCAGAAAATAATAGATTTTGTAAATAAGCCACAGGGAGCTGGTGAGATATTTTATTTTTCATTTATACAGAAGGAGGGGTCTTGCATATCAGTGGAAAAATGATGTCCCCTTTGTGTACAGGTTGTGATCCGATTCAATATCCAGAGGAATGTGGCTGTGATCCCCAAGTCTGTGACACCAACACGCATTGTTGAGAACTTTCAGGTAAGATCCCAGCTGGTTGGCCTTGCTGTTTCTCAGTGGCATAGGGCCAGGAGAGGCCATCTCGCTAGGCTTCTAATTTCATCCCTGCATTATCTCTGGGTCCTATGCCCTTCCTACCACCCTGTCATTCTCAGTCCAGGGAGCTAACTCCACAGAGCTGAGATGACTGACCATGGGCTGAGGACAAGTCCCTGCCCTCTGGTGGGGGTGGAGCTCTGTCAGGTGTGAACCCAACTGTGTGTCACATCACTGAAAAGACACCTGGATTCCCCTGAGCAATGAGGTCATGAACCACGCACAAGAAAAGACTGGCCTGATAGCTGGAACTTACCTAAAAATGATAAAGGCCATATGTCACAAACCCACAGCCAACATCATACTGAACAGGGAAAAATTGAAAGCATTTCCACTTAGAACTGGAGCCAGACATGGTTTCCCTGTATCACCACTTCTGTTCAACATAGCGCTGGAAGTCCTAGCCAGAGCAATCAGACAACAGAAGGAATTGTAAGGTTGTTCAGCAGTGCGAAAAAGAAAAAGAGACACGAGGAACAGAAAGAGTGCAAACCACTCCTTTATTAACACCTCTGGACGAGTTCTGGCCCCAAACGGGGCCCCGAGTCGCCGCAGTTTGAGCTGAGCCTTTATACCTTGGTGGCTAGGACTTGTGGCAGGGGAAGAGCTGGGATTCTCGTATGATGGACCTTGAAGGTCCGTGTGAGAAACCATAGGACGGGGCTAGAGGTATTGTGGAATCCCAGGAGCGATATCCAGGTGGAGATCTGCGGTGTGGTTCCTCTCGTGGCCTGGCAGTTTGGTCCTTGGCAGGTCAGGTCACTAGCGTTTTCTTTTTCAATCGTATTGGGAGGCGAGGGAGGGGGCCCCTTGCCACCAGCTTACATTCTGGGCCTTGTGTTATGATGGCGCCGCTCTTTCTGAGCTTAACTTCCTGCTTAGGAGGGCGTAGTTAGGGTTAATGAGCGTCGGCCTCCAGGCCACTGTGTTAGTGAAAGTATGGATGAAGAAAGTAGTTGGTTTACCGCCATCCTGCACTCTTCGTTGAGGACCGTGAGTGAAGACGAGAAAGACGCAGATAGCAAAACAGAAGATTAGGCAGATGATGACACTGGGTCCTATTAGCGGCAATGGCCAGGTAGCCAAAGGGAATTGTATCCAGCCAAAGGGGGACGCATCCCAGCGGAGGAGGTTGTGCAGGTCTTTACTCAGGTTGGTGAGCTTGTCTATGTTCTACTCCAGAAGGCCCGATTCGCCGACATAGCATCAGCATTCTTTATGAAGGAAAAGGCAGGTTTTTCGTTTTTCAGTCATCAGCAGATCTGCAAAATCTTGGGCAGATATGACACCAGGACCCAGGGCATTTCCCGCGAGCCCTGAGGCCACAATGGAAGAGGCCAAGCTGAGACTTACCATGACAGGTAGAAAGGTGGCTAGTCTTGGCTGGGGCCCTGGGAGAAGCCATTTAAACTCAGACTCACCGTATAGAGTTAATTGAGGGACCACCATGACAGGGAAACAAGGACCCGGGGTGGATGTATTGACACAGCGGGTAAGTACTCCGTTGCACCAGAAGAACTGTCCCAGAGCAGGGGAGGTGGTCAGTAATACCAAGTGGTGCTAGATCACTGTTGTTTTTTGTGCCTGAGTAGAACTTCATGGTATACATATACCATTTTATTAATCTACTCATGTATTGATGGTCACTTGGGTTGTTTCCACATCTTTGCAATTGTGAATTATTCTGCTATAACATTCTAGTACAGATGTCTTTTTTCCTTTGGGTAGATGCCCAATAGTGGGATTGCTAGATGAAATGATAGTTCTACTTTTAGCTCTTTGAGGTATCTCCATATTGCATTCCACAGAGGTTGTACTAGTTTGCAGTCCCACGAGAAGTGTGAGTGTTCCTCTCTCTCTGCATCCATGCCAACATTTATTGTTTGGAGACTTTTTGATAAAACCCATTCTTGGCAGACTTAAGTGATATCTTATTGTGGTTTTGATTTGTATTTCCCTGATGATTAGAGATGTTGAGCATTTTTTTCATATGTTTGTAGGCCATTAGTCTGCTTCTTTTGAAAAGTTTCTGTTCATGTCCTTTGCCAGTTTTTAATGAGTTGTTGATTTTTTCTTGTGACTTCCTTAGTGCTATATAGATTCTAGTTATCAGCCCTTTATCAGATGTGTAGTATGAAAATATTTTCTCCCATTCTATAGGTGTCTGTTTTACTAGTGATAGTTCTTGGCTGTGCAGAGCTTTTAATTGATTGGTCTCATTTATTTTTTTGCTGTTGCTGTGATTGCTTTTGGGGTCTTCTTCATAAATTCTTTTCCTAGGTCTATAAAGATTTTTCCAACATTCTCTTCTATCTTTTTTTTCTTTTCTTTTTTTTTTGAGACAGAGTCTCACTTGTGCCCAGGCTAGAGTGAGTGCCGTGGCATCAGCCTAGTTCACAGCAACTTCAAACTCTGGCTAAGCAATCCTGTTGCCTCAGCCTCCCGAGTAACTGGAACAGGCATGCGCCACCATCCGGATTTTCTATATATATATTAGTTGGCCAATTAATTCTTTTCTATTTATAGTAGAGACAGGGTCTGCTCGTGCTCAGGCTGGTTTTGAACTCCTGACCTCGAGCAATCTACCCACCTTGGCCTCCCAGAGTGCTAGGCGTGAGCCACCGCTCCTGACCAACATTCTCTTCTAGAATTCTTACAGTTTCATGGCCTTAGGTTTAAGTCTTTATCCACCATGAGTTGATTTTTGTGAGAGGTGAGAGTATGGATCCTGTTCAGTCTTCACATGTGAGCTATCCAAATTTCCAGAATTACATAGGGGATTCTTTCCCCCATGTATGTTCTTTACCTGCTTTGTCAAAGATTAGATGCAGTTTGATGATTGATTTATATTTCTGGGTCTCAGTCTGTCCCAATTGGGTCTACTATCTCTGTTCTTTTGCCAGTAATATGCTGTTTATATTTACCTATAGCCTTGTGAATTATGCTTGAAGTCTGGGCAATTGCTGCTCTCAGTGGTTTTTTGCTTTAAGATCGTTTTGTATACAGGGGTCTTCTCTGGTTTCAACAAAGATAGAATTATTTTTTTAGATCTGTAAAAGATTGATGTGCGATATTTAATAGGATGCATTGAATCTGTCGACCATGTGGGTTAGTATAAGACATTTAACAATGTTGATTTTGCCGACTCATGAGAATGGTATGGTGTTGCTCACCTGTTATGTCCTCTTGCAATTTTGTCCTCAGAGTTTTGGTAGTCTTACTGAGGTCTTTCACTCTAGTTAAATGTATTCCTAGGTTTTTATTTTCTTTGTTGCTACGTGAAGGTATGAGATTTTGACTGGTTCTAGGTTTGACTGTGGCATATAGGATTGCTACTGATTGTCTTGATTGATTTTGTACCTGAGACTTTGCAGACATTTGTTAATCAAGTCCAGTGAGTCATGGAACTTTAAAGTTTTACAATAAATTATTATCATCAGCAAAGATGTCCATAGTGATAGTTGATCTCTTCTGCCCTATTGAGCCCTTGATTTCCTTCTGTTTCTGATTGCTCTGGCTAGGATTCAGCCTGATGTTGAACGAAGTGGTGATACAGGCAAACCATTGGTCTGGCTCCAGTTGTTAAGTGGAAATGGCTTTCAATTTTCCCTGTTCAGATGATGTTGGCGTGTGGGTTGTGACATATGGCCTTTACATTTTAGGAAGTTCCAGCTATCAGGCAGTCTTTTTGTGCGTGGTTCATGACCTCACTTGCTCAGGGATCCAGGTGTCGTTTCGTGATGTGACACACAGTTGGTTCCAGCCTTGGACAGAGCTCCACCCCACCAAGGGCAGGGACTTGTCCTCAGCCCAGGTCAAGTCATCTCCAGCTCTGTGAGTTAGTCCCTGGACGAGAATGACACGGGTTGGTAGGAAGGGCATAGGACCCCAGAGATAATGCAGATGAAATAGAAGCTAGCGAGATGGCTCTTCCTGGCCCTATCCATCTGAAAACAGCAGGGCCACCAGCTGGGACTGTTCCTGAAATTCTCAACAATGCGGTTGGTGTCACAGACTGGGGATCACAGCCACATTCCTCTGTATTGAATCGGATCACAACCTGATACACAAGGGACAATATTTTTCCACTGATATACAAGACCTCCTTGTATAAATGAAAATAATAAAATTCTCACCCTCCCTGGTGCTTATTACAAACTCTATTATTTTCTGCAGCATTTAACAACTATTCAGAGACTCTTCCAGTCTCAGCTTGATTAACTCCTCAATCCTAGTAACAGGCTCTCCTTTATTGTCCTATGTTTTTTTAGG